ATCTCAGATGGACCCCTCCCCCTCCCGAGCTCCTGAAACCCTCCACGAGGTCCCTGACACTCAAGGTCAACCATGAGCAGCACATCCCACATCACAACCACATCCGCGGTATCCCCTGCCCTTTCCCCGTGGAAACCCCACATCTCCTGGAGAGCTGGGACCGGGAAGTCCTCCCAAGCGGTCAACATTCTGCTTCCATGGCCCAGGTGGCCCGGGGCCTGGAGCTGGACCATACGCCCATGTACCCGCTTCCAGGATACGTTTGCTCTTTCTCCCTAAACCCTCCCAGCTGGTCACCTCTGCTCCTCGGAACCTCACCCCTTCCTCCTTGAGTCCTCCACCGAGCCCTGGTCAGCTCCAGGCCGCAGGAAGGCTCCCTGTCAGGCTCTCCGAGTCCACACTCATCTCGGTTCTTGCTGATCCTTTGAATGTTGGTCTCAGTTCGTTCCCTGCCCCCTCTTCCAACAACCCGCTCCCGCTCAGCCACCCATTCTCACCATCGCCCTTGATCCTCTCTCTACCAGGAAGTGGGTACCGCCCAGAGCTGCCCTCCTGATGCCCCGTGCTCCCACCTTCACGCTCTGTATTTCCAGGTCACGTGGTTGAACACCTGCACTCCAACCACCCTCTGGCCCCACAGGACCTAGAGGCCTCTGATCTCACTGTTCTCTCTCTCCTTTCTCAGCCTCTTTGCGCCCTCAACTGTCCCCTGGTCATCCTTAGGTTTCATGGCCATCATTTATTATTTTATTTTTTTAAATATATTTTATTGATTTTTTTTTAATAGAGAGGAAGGGAGAGAGATAGTTAGAAACATCGATGAGAGAGAAACATCAGATGCCTCCTGCACACCTCCTACTGGGGATGTGCCTGCAACCAAAGTACATGCCCTTGACTGGAATTGAACCAAAAAAATGGGAATCTTTTTAAAATCCTGATTTCTGGGCCTCATCCTCCGGAAATTCTGTTTCTTTGTTAATAATGTTGTGGCCCCACCCCATAACAAAGAAACAGAATTTCTGGAGGATGAGGCCCAGAAATCGGGATTTTAAAAAGATCCCCAGGTGATTCTCATGTGCAGCCAAGGTTGAGAACCACTGTTCTGAGAGAAGGGCTGTCTTTTCATTGTGTTGATGTTTCCTTTGCTGTGCAAACACTTCTGAGTTTGATGTAGTCCCGTTGGTTTATTTTATTTGTTTCCCTTGCCCGAGGAGACAGCGCAGAGAAACTACTGCTGTGAGAAATGCTCCAGATTTCACCGCCCATGTTTCCTTCCAGGAGCTTCACGGTTTCCGGTTCTGAGTGTGTTCTTGTATGTGGGGTAGGAGGTGGGGGAGCAGGGAACCACCGTGTAAGGTACATGATTGTCTACCCACCATGCTGTCCCCCTGAAACTAGTACAGAATAACATATTGAATGTCAACCCTAACTGAAAAACAGAAAGCATTAACAAGTCAGACATGGATTTGGGCCTTAATTCACATGACCTCTGGAACCTTCAAATGTTAATATCGTGTTTCTTTCTCTGAGAAATGAGTGTCAGTGTTTATTATTTCATCATAAACCCCGTGAGAACTAGAAGATATGATTTAAGCAAGCAGGTAGCGCGTCCCCAGGCCTTCCATCAAGACCTTGACCAACGTTAGTGATGTTTCTATCTTTGAAACCGTCAGGTGAGTTTTTCTAAGTCAAGTCAAAGGCTACGAACCAAAGCCTGCTCTTCCCGAGGGTGCCTGGATCAGTGACACTAACATCGTAGACACAGCCAAGCGTCTCGGGCTCACGGCAGTGACTCTCCCCGCACGGCCAGTCCTGCTGGTGGGCACTTGGGTGACAGGACTCTCCTCTGTGAGCCTTTATTTCAAGTCTGAGTGTTGAAAGAGGCCTTACCTTTAATTATCAGGGCTATTTGTCATTTTTAATGAGAAAAATATAAAAAAGGATGTATTGCCCGGCCAGTGTGGCGCAGTGGTTGAGTGTCAACCTATGAACCAGGAGGTCACAGTTCAATCCCTGGTTGGGGCACAGACCCAGGTTGTGGGCTTGATCCCCAGTAAGGAGCATGCAGGAGGCAGCCGATCCATGATTCTCTCTCATCACTGATGTTTCTCTCTCTCTCCCTCTCCCTTTTTCTCTGAAATCAATAAAAATAATTTTTTTAAAAGGAAAGACCACATCACGGTGGACATAAAGGCGTGTATTAAAGCTCAGAAAATGCAGTCTTGAGCGGTGATAAACAGTGCAGAGGTTGAGAGGGTCTGAGAATAAGGATGAAGGCAGATCCGGGGATTTAATTAACATCACTACATGTGTTCCTGACTTTACACACGGTTTCTTGGTAACGGAACACGACTTTGGGGAACAGAATGGATGACCTGGGGAGGGGCCGGCAGGTGAGTCCCCCGTCATCAGCGGAAACGGACAAGGCCAGCCCCTGGCGTAGGGGACCTACCTCTGCAGAAGGGGGCCGGGAAGTCCCAGGTGGCGCCGCTCCCGGGGCTGACGATGCAGGTGAGCGTCGCGTGGCCCTCCAGGACGTAGCCGGCCAGGCAGCTATAGCGGATCTTGTCTCCGATGTTGAACCTGGACCCGTGCAGCACCCCCTTCAGGATGTCCCCGGGGTTCCCGCACGTGTGGCTGGGCAGCACTGGGGAGGAGAGAGGAAAGGACAGTGAGGGACCGCCCTGGATTCAGGTCTGTCTGTCGCTCAAAACATGCTCCTCCTTGAAGATGACAGTGAGCACAGCAGCCAGCAGTGCTCCCATCTGGCCTGACTGTGACCAGGGACATGCATGCATGTTTCCCACCCGCCACCTAGTTCTTCTGTAGAGATCGTGTTTACCTACACATGACTGCGTTTTGTTAGGAGGGAGGAGAGGGTCCGTCTTAAACGTTTCTAGACCACTTTCCTAATCGTGAGGTTCTACCCTCTCCTACAGGCACAGTGGGACTGGGGTTCTGACAAAGCAATCAGCATACATGAATATTCATGCCACATGTACTCCATGACCAGCACTGCCTGGTACACACCACTAATCAATGCTTAATCAATGTCTGCTGGACAAGCAACTTAAAAAACTAAAGATCATTCGTTAATCTATCAGAGTTTAATAGAATCGTTCCATTACTGTATTCCAGCCAGCTGTGAGGGTCTGTGCATGGATACAGTGTCTGACTCACCACAGAGTGGTAACCACGGCTTTCACAACGCAAGTACTGCACTCGCTTGCATCTCGGTCCAGCGCCTGACGCTGTCCCTTCCTGCCCGGCTCCCTCTGTGTGTGGGGGGTTCTCTGCCTCATGCAGCTGCCACGAGACCTCCTCGAGATGAAGCCGTCGCACCAGAGAGCAACGTCTCCAACCTCATGGGTACGCCCGGGCGCTGACTAGAGGCAGTCGCCGTGGTTGGCTGCTGTCTCTGCCCTCGCGCTGTAAGTCAGCCTGCCATCCGTCAGGCACCTGCGCTCCTGCAGCGCTCAATAAACCAGGGTCCTACTGTTTAAAAGGAATGGTTTCCAAGTAAAAGTATTTCTAAGCGAGTAAAAGTACAGTATTTTATCTTCTTTTAAAATATTATTTACTGATTTCAGAGAGAGAGGGGGAGAGAGAGAGAAACACTGGTTTGTTGTTCCACTGATGTATGCCTCCACTGGTTGCTCCTTGTATGCGCTCTGACCGGAGCGTGAACCCCAAGTCTGGCTTGTGGAGACGACACTCTAACCAACCGAGCTACCCAGCCAGAGCCAATTATTTCATATCTGAATCCATTTTTTTTTTGCATGGGTACAGAGGATAGGTTGATATCCTATATAATAAAAGGCTAATATGCAAATTGACCGGACGGCGGAATGACTGGTCACTAAGATGTGCACTGACCACCAGGTCAACACATGAGCTGCCCCCTGGTGGTCAATGTGCTCCCACAGGGGGAGCACTGCTCAGCCAGAAGCTGGGCTCCCAGCTGGCGAGTGCAGCGGTGGTTGCGGGAGCCTCTCCCACCTCTGAGGCAGCACTAAGGACCCCTTGGGGGATGTCTGACTGCCCACGGGGATCAGGCCTAAGCTGGCAGGCAGACATCCCCCGAGGGGTCCTGGACTGTGCGAGGACACAGGCCGAGCTGAGGGACCCCCCCCCCCCCGGCCCCTAGTGCACAAATGTCCTGCACCAGGCCTCTAGTTTCATCATAATTTTCTTACACTATTCTATTAATCTAATTCTTGACTAGTCTACATGATATGGTCTATTTGGCTTTTATTACTTAAGGATATATTGAAAACATGAGTCCTTTGGGAATATATGTACAGTGGGGCCTTGACTTACGAGTGTTCCGACTAACGAGTTTTTCGAGATACGAGCCGTCCCTCGGCCGATTTTTTGCTTTGAGTTGCGAGCTAAAATTCGGGTTACGAGCCAGCTTCAGATACCTCACCGCTAGTTGGCGCAGCGAACGTCACAGTGAACGCCACAACATCAGCCCAGCATCACGTGTCTCACTCGTTCACTTCTTGATTTGACATACGAGTAATTTGAGTTATGAGCTCCGTCATGGAACGAATTAAACTCGTAAGTCAAGGCCCCACTGTACTAACATGAAACTTGTACATATAAGCAAATGAAAGATGCAAATTGTTAGGGAATGGTTAAAACAAATACTGGTTTTAAATGAATAAAAATTATATGCCTTTGAGTACATGTATAAAAATAACCATATAAATCTATAATAATAATAAATGCATAATACGCAAATTAGACCGGACATCCTTCTGGACGACCTTCCGGACGAAGCCGGGGCTGTGAGGGAAGCCTGGGTCACGGGTGCCAGAGAGAAGCTGGCACCGGCAGCCGGGAGAAGGAAGGCCTGCTGTTGCATGAATTTCGTGCATCAGGCCTCTAATATATGTATAATAGAGTGAAATTATTTGTTTTGTTCTTTTATACGTCAAGAAATAGATCTTGATCAGTGAATGAAAGGGAATGTCAGTATTCCTAAAGTTATTTTATTATAACATTAAATATGAACAAAGTTAGCTATGTAGAAACACTTAGAAAAAATACTACCTTTTAGATACTTAATATAATTGATATGTTTATAAAATCACTATTTACATAGCAAAGTGTGTGCAATTCCAGTTAAAAAAAATAAGTTTCCAAAAACAGTAAAAAAAAAAAAAAAGTTTGAGACACAGTAAGAAATAGTTAATTTTGGTCTAGAAGAGATTTTCAACCGTTGTGTGACAAGACGTTTTAAAGCATGCAGCACCTGGCTATCCAGTCAGGGGCACTGACCCCTCTCCCTTTGACCGTCAAGTAAAAGATGAAAACAGCCCACACAATAGCCGTCTGGTGTGATTGAATCAAAATAAAACTGATTTTTCTTTTTTCTTTTTTTGTCAGATCGGCAAAAAACTATAATACATGTTCTGGCGTGCCGCGGGCGGGATTCTAGTCATCAGTCTGTGTGTGCGAGATGAAAAGGGCCGGCCGTCCCTATTCTGCAATCATCTTTGCTTCTCTTATAAAAAGGAAGTTCTTTGTTCGATATCACAGTCACTACTTCTAAGTCCGCGGGTCTTTAAAAAGGTTGTTGACAGCACCTTCAAGTGCGTCGGCATCTGCCCGCTGGGTCCTCTCGGGGAGGAGGCTTTCGGCTCTGCCGGGAGGAGCCCTGGAGTGTAGGGCTCAGCAGGGCCTTCGGGCCTCATGGTTGAGAGGCCAGGCAGTTCGTTTCTTACATGAGCAGGAGGGAGATGGAGGATGAACGCCGTTGGGCTTTCCGTCCTTGCCCGGGAACACGTAGAATCAACAAGCCCTTCCCTTCTCTCGGGGCCTTTATTCTCTCCATCAGCCGTCAGGGCACCCTCATCGGGAGACGGGCATCTCTATGCAGGGTCCACATCCATGTTCCCCAAGTCAGGGGTCGTCAGTACAAACCTGTGAACGGCCTCACAGCCCGCGACGGACACCACACGCCGCTGCTCTCAGACCCGGGAAACACGGGGCCTTTCTCTGCAGAGCGTTCCCACCACGTTTCTCCTGAACGTGGAAGGAGGGGCTTTCTCACATCATCTCAGCACAGAGCCACGGTCACTACACAGAAACACGATGAGCCGTGAACAAGGTATGGGGGTACGTGGGCCAACGCCACTGGCTTATCTCAGCCAGTTCCATGCATTTCAACCAGAGGGAAGGACAGACCACCCGTGAGGCTCGCCCGCGCAATGTCGCCAGCAAGTGCAGAATTGTACTAACTTCACAAACAAACAAAAACAGAAAACCATATCACTCCTGAAAACCAGGGTCTCCCCGACTAGCCTGGGCCTCTTGGAAAGAAAACAGTCACGTCTTACAACCCTGAGCAGACTTCAGTGTCACATCCGGGAAGAGAGACGACTGGGAAATGCAGAAGGCAGCGTTAGTCCTCCTGTTCCTTAGCCTCGAGCGGGAGAGCTACTTTCCCAGGAAACGACGTCAACGTTAAAATGAACGGTTGCCTGCGGAGAAGGTAGCTACGTCACAGAGGGTGTCCCTGGACCATGGTTACATGGAGGTGTGAGTCGTGGCTGATGCGACAGAACCCCTTTCCGGGGCAGGGGCAGGTCACCGGCAGCAGCATCCATGGCCGTGAGCCGTCTCAGCCCACAGCCGCGCAGCCACGCAGCCACGCCAACTCCAGGTCTGGGCACCTCTGCCTCCCCTCCTCCTCCGCAAACCACCCCCGGCCTCCTGGGCCAGGGCCAGCAAACGGTCTCCTTTTTGTTCTTATATATATTTATTGATTTCAGAGAGGAAGGGAGAGGGAGAGAGAGAGAAACATCAGTGATGAGAGAGTCATGTATTGGCTGCCTCCTGCACCCCCCGACTGGGGATGGAGCCCACAACCGGGCATGTGCCCTGAGTGGGAATGGAACTGTGACCTCCTGTTCATAGGTCGATGCTCAGCCACAGGGCCACACGGGCCGGGCTCCTTTTTGTACTTGTCCCAGGGTTGCCTTTCCCTTCACGTCTGGACAATTGTTCCAGGATCTGGAAACACCCACCCAGCGCCTACGGTTTGAACGGCGTGACTTTGAATTGACTGGAATGGAGGGAAAGATCTGGACCTGAGTCTCTTCCGCACCCTCCCGGGCCCCTACTATTTAAAAAAGCAGGGGTTTAAAAAAGAGTATTCTAGAACAACTGCAGCAAGACTATGTGGAGCAATATGCCGGACAAAAGCTAACTGTGGAGAAGGAAGTTGGGTCTTTGTAGCAATCCCCAGGGGTTAGAGGCCCCCTGTGTGTCTCTAACAGCGGGCGCATCTATCTCATTTGTGTCCCTGTAACATCCAGGTAACCTCTAACCCTGAGCAGGGACTTGCCAAATACAAATCAACTGAATGGTCATTAGCAACAAAAGCACAACGAGTCCATCCAGTGCCCGATGTGCACAATAGCTAAGATTTGTGTGGCCCATAGATTGGCAGGAATGGGAAAAACAACACGTTTAAAAACACACAGGGGGACAAAATGACATTTTGGAAACAATAAATCAACTTATAACGTTAAGTCACATTTTTTTCCACCTTAGATTAAACACGCAAATAGGCCTCAGAGGCTGAGAATGAACTGAAGTTTATAAAAAGCAAAATAAGTTAGCAAATGGGGAAGT